GGGATCTCCAGTCCTGGTCCAGGAGGGGGCAGTGTGTCTGGGGGGTTTTCATTTTAACTCCCTTTTTAGTCCGCTGAACCAGTTGGCCACTGGTTCGACTGGGCCAACTAAGCAGCTTCTCCCAGTCCTCCAGGTGCTGCTGCTGCTGCTTTAAAGAGAGCTTGAAACCCTGTGCACCGTCCAGCCCTCCCAGACCAGGACTGGACAGCCCTGCCTAATGAGCAGCAGCAATTTTAATGGCCTCGGTCTCCAGCATGTAAGTGGAGGAGACAAAAGACAGGGCCGCTCGGCCCGTCTAGCTTCTGGTATTTAGTAAGTTAATCGAGCCGTGGATGTCATCGGGCTGTTTCTTGAAGAAAGCCAGGTGTCTGCTTTAGCCACATGGCTGGAGCTCACGCACGGTTTTCACTTATGTCCTCTGCACTGTGTTTCTCTGTTGACTCGGAAGGAGTCCCTTGGGTTGACTTTCAGTGCCTTGACAACCCAGATCAGCCCTCCCTGGTAGTCTTCTCTATTCCAGATATATTCCACTGTTGAAACTTCTCCTTTTACGCAGTGTAAATGATCCGATTCCTGTTTTCTGGCCTGATTAAAAAGCAGCAGTCACTTTCTGCAGTGAAGTGACCCAATCTGACCAATTTGTTTCTGAAGGCGGTGTTATGACTGTATTGTGCAATTTCAACACACAATTGTAACTTGGTTTACATTTTACGCTTTTAACTAAACATGTCAACATGTTAAGGACTTGAAAAAGTTGTTCAATCCATTTAAGACTATAACTAGTAAACTAGGTAGTTAAGAGTTGAGCTGCATTGTAAGTCTGGAGAGATAGTGGCCACACCAGAGCTGGGTACCCCAATCTATAAACACAATTCCTCATTCCTTTCTGAGCTATAGGCCATGGCTTGGAAATATAGCAAAGTTAGGGATGATATTACATATACATACCTAAGAGTCAGTGTTTGAGTGGTCCATGAACATCATTAAGTATTCCTGGAATGGATTTTGTAAATCCACAGTCTCAACACATCTTAGCAGTTTGTTTACGACACCAGGCTCCTAAATGAGAACCTGGTCTTATATTTTCTGTTCACACTTGATTCTCGGCTGTGACAGCAGGGAATTAAGGCCAGCTCATTTAAATGGCTAACATCATGAGTGGGATTGCAAAATTGTTGTGATATCAAGCGTCCAAGACCTCCATCTGCCCAATGAGAACATTAGAATGTTCTTCTCGAGTGGCAGAATACTGATGTTTGTTTTCAGGCAGGATTTAGGGACGTACTTGCTGTGACTTTCTGTAAATCTGTCATGTGGAAGTGAAGTGTTCCTCCTACTGATAGTACCCTCTGTTGCGAAATGCCTGTGGGCACCACAGTATCTCGGTTTCTGTATTTGAAGTGATTTCTTCTGTCAGCATGTAAGGAAAAGTGACTGGGATGACTTCATTCTGTCTATATGTACAGAAAAAATAAGAGCATAATGTATGCTGGCTTGTTTCAGGAACGCTCGCCTGACGTCGCTGGCTTTGTGCAGCTCTCCTGCCCCAAGGCTTCTGGTCTAGGCTGATAGCACACACCGCGTGTGGTGGGCTAATCCTATTGGATTCTGAAACCACCGATCTCCTGCGTGCATCATCATAATATTTATTTATAAAGCACCTAAAAAAGAAGTACAATGAAAAGTAAAAGAAAGAATAAACAAGATCCTACAGGTTCTGTCTTGTACGGGTTGAGTGTAGGTCAGTCAGACAATGGCCTGAGTCAGGAGATGAGTTCTAGATGGGAGCTATTTAACTGGACCCAGATCTTCCCACTCTCACAACGAGACGGTTGTAGGATTAAAACAGCGAGCTTTATGAGATAAAGGAGCATTCTGTATGAAAAGCAGGGGTTGTGAATGGCCAGGAGGGCTGTAGGTTTAATTAAGAGTCCTAGCTTGAGTCACTAGTTGACTGGAATCCTCCCAAACTGCACTGTGAGCTCTAGTTGTGATCTAGAGTGGGGTGCGTGCCCAGGTCTGTGACCTTAGAGATAGTGTGTCAATTTCTGGTGGCCTGTGCTCATTTAGAGCAGTGGTTCCTGGTCCTGGTGCCCCACACACCTGCTGGGTTTTGATCTAGCCAAGCTCTCAGTTACACAACAATAGAATTAATAGGAACTCTTTGACTCTTCTCAGCTCTTAAATTTGATTGACATTAGCTTTTAGTGATTGCGTTTTGTAAGTAAAGTGCAATCCCAATTGCAAATATTCCAATCAGGCCATTCGTTTGTTCATTCGAGGCTTGAATGAGATATTAAAGGTGGGCTGGAGTGAAAGCAGCTGGTGTGTGATGCCCTGTGACCAGGCCTGGGGCCCTCTGGCCTGGAGGTGTCTTCGTTGGAGCTCTGTCGGTGAAGGTTTCCTCAGAGTGGAGCAAGCCAGATGTGCATGTGTTGGACTTCACATCGACGACAGGCTACTTGTTTTATATCCCAGTAATGCCAGATGTTATTCTTTATGAGGTGAGGGAAATTATTGTACTTTTAAGAGAATAAAATAAAAGTTTTGGGTGCCGCAGAATGGAAGCATAGTTGACAAGAGGTATGAAGTCTCTTGCAGGTACGCCAGAGTAATTTCTGTACCTTGAACATTTGTTCATTTTCTCCAGATAAGTGAAAGGTACGTGTTGTACTACTTTATTGTCGATGAGGTTACGTTGCTTCTGCCCGTCCCACGTTTTAACCAACAAAAAGAAATTAATTCAATTACATTAATTAGGTCTGCTTGTTCCTTCGTAGCCCACATGTTGCCACAGCTCTCCGCTCAGAGCTCAGCGTTTCAACTGTCCTTCTAAACCAGCGGGTGGTTGGCCGTCTGAGCACTCCCTTTTGTTTCTGCCACGATGCAGTGACTTGGCCAGGAGCTCGGGGCCGAGAACCCTGCACGTCAGGAGGGCAGTGAGGTGTGGCACCTGTGTGCAAGCCCCGGCGGGGCGTGGTGGTGTCGAGAGATCCAGATCTTCCTCCGCGCCGCGCGGGCTGCCGGTGCACAATCTGGCGGACGTGCCTCGGCGAGGGCAGGGCCTGACGTCGCCGGGCAGCGCTGTGCTCGCCCCTCTCTCGCGCGCTCGGGAGTCTGCAGGAAGAACGCGTCACTGTCTGACTCACCCTGCCAGCGCGAGTCTTTAAGCCACTGCAGAGTGCGCTGATTGAAGTAGAAGCAGTTTCGGAAACTTTCGCACCTTTTTTTTTACAAACCCTGGTGTATGTCAAGTGCAAAACTGTACTTAGATTAAAAAAACAGGGCAATCTAAGAATCTTACCACTTTCCTGCTTTTGGAGTTGGACATCTATTATATATGCATGGTGAAGTGGTAAGAAGAAAGACCTTACTTGAGTCTGGATGGAGCTCATCTCAGTTCCTGTAGTGTTAAAGGGACTGAGAGAACAAAACACCCCTCCTTTGTGGCTTGCTAGTGTCTTGCGGGGTTTTCCCCAGTGAAGCCAGTCCCCACTTATACAGCTGGGTGACTTGAGCAACTGGGCTGAAGCACCTGCTCAAGGGAACAGCAGGAAAGCCTCGTATATTAGACTTGAGCCTATAATTTCAAGTTATGACGGTTCTAGAGCTCAGACCATAACACTACACTGCCCTTCATACCTGGGTATGATTAGGCAGAAAATATCCTGAAACGGCTGCAAAAGTTTAACAAATTAAGGTTTCAGACGCTTTCACTTACAAATACAGATAATAGTGACAGACCCTGATTTAAAGTAATTAACTGATACAGTAGATAAGTTCTTGTCCCTGATTCTGTCTAATGATCACATGTGCTTTTATGTTTTAGACTGAAGGTGAGCTTTGAGCTTATCTTGCGTTTACTATCACACCATAGAGGACTATCAAACTGACACCAGATCTCTACAGCTGAACAGTTTCTTAGTTTTGGGGTTATTAACACACAAGGTTTCTGTTAAACATATCTGATCGAATGCACTGGAAAACTACAAATATGCTTGTATGCATGATTCTGGCATCCATTTCAATGTAAATTAAGGCTGCATAGGGGTAGAATGGTGGTCTGAGAGTTGTCAGCATTGCTGCCTCTCAGTGCTGAGGCCCTGGGTTCAATTCCAGATCTGATGTGCTGTCTCTTTGGAGTTTGTATGTTCTCCCCGTCTTCATGTGAGTTTTCTCCGGGCGGTCCAGTTACCTCCCACAGTCCAAAGACATGCTTCGTGGAGAACTGGCCCTGGTGTGCGTGTGTGTTTGTCTGTGAGTGTCCTGTGATGGACTGGTGTACCCCACCTTGCACCCTGGCTCCCCTGTGACCCTGAATTGGAAGAAGTGGCTAGAAAATGGGTGAATGGATGGATTAAGACCACATAATTAGAATTGTTCTTGTAGTTGAAGAACTATAATTTTTTGGTAGTAATTATCCCTAAAGTTGTTTTCAGTGAGCTGGAAAGGAATGTGTAGTTTTGATTAATCGTGCCGCCGGCATCTGGAGACGGGGGACTTCAGCTGCAGAGCTACCAGATGAGGACCGTGACCGTCGCCTTGTTGCCACGCTGGTGCGTCTCCGTGGTTACCAAGTGGCTTTTTTTTTCTGTTGCAGTTGCCGTAGCAGCACCCGGAAGAACCTGGCTGTAGGAACGCCCTCGCCCACGCTCTCCCGGCCTCTGTCTCCCCTCTCCATCCCCACAGGTAAGGGCTGAGAGACCCAGCGTCTGCCACCCTCTGTCCCTGGTGACGCCAGGCCCTCTCGACGCTGCAGTGCCGTCTGCGGGTCGTTGCCTTCCCTTCCCTTCAGATTCTCTCTTCACGTCCTGCTTCCTGACTTTCCTAGTGAACGGAGCTCCGGGTGAATTATTGTCGGCTGCATTTAAACCCCCCATCTGATCATCTTTTTTTTTAATTGAGATGTCACATGGCTTGGCAGTGGGGGGTCACTCGTGTTGCATTAGCGTCTGTGAAGTAGTGACTTGTAGTTAGTGGTGAAATCTAATATTCATCCCCTGGTTTAGTCTTGATTATTCTAGATTGTTTAGGAAGTACATATTTCTAGGGACCTTATATTCTCCTCTTTGTAGGAGAGGTCCGAATGAGAATTTCGTTGTTGGCATTTCGATGAAGACGTGAAGAGGCTGGCCTGGCTGTCTTGAGCTGTGGGCTTTTCATTTTTGGAGGCTGTTTAATATGTAGAGCCTGACTCATGGCATTGCAGTCACGCCGCTACACAAAGATGCCTGTAAGGAAATGTTCCAGTGTGGCTAAAATATGGGAATATTTCACATTCCTGTAGTGAACCTTTTATGAGCACACTGGATGTCCTTTGTCAGTGATGAAGAACAATGTTCTTTTTTCCCTTCTTATTTCGGTTTGTTTTCATTGTTCCTCCATGGAAAAGATCGCAGTTTGCCGTGAGGGTGGCCTTTTCCCTGAATATGGGAAAACTATGATACACTACACATTTACCGCTCCTTCTGAATTGTCATTTTGTAAAGAAGAGTGTGATCTGCCAGAGAGTTTCCCATCATGAATTCCGAGACAGTCTGATTCTTGTGACAGTAGTGTAGCATAGAAATACAGTAAACCTTTAATGTATTTGAGATTTTAAAAAAAATCTAAACTGCATCTGTTCTAAAATTAAAAGTAGCCAAACCTTTGCTACTTGTATTATTGTAGATGGAATTAATTGACAATTTAGAGTAATCCTGGGTGGCGTTGTTTTCTTCATACGTGTCAGTTTTTCAGATTATGCTGCCTAGGGCTGCCTTCCAACCACTGCGAAGTAATGAGGGGTGTTAATGTTTAGCTGTTTTTTTGCTGCTGAGTATTAAATAGAACAGATTCAGACTGGCGATCAGGGCATCATCTTATCTGCTAAAACGATGGTTGTTTTGTGTTAAGTGATCTTGTGCCAGACTTCAGTGGCAGGTAGATAATTCATGCTTTTGTAATGCTTAACCACATCCACATTAAGGAGCACATGCTTTAGCATGCATTACAGCCAGCCTTGCAGGTGAGCCCTGTGAGTGTCCTTGCCAAGCCTTCACTGTTGAAAGCACTTGTTCATTTATCAGGAGCTGGTAGTCACCCCTTACTAAGACAAAACACTGCTGGCAACCGACCTAATTATAGTTTCAAATAAGGCTCACTTGGCTGTGCCGTTGCATAATGTTTAATGAACTGCTCTTTTGACATTAGCTGGATTAAGAGCTCTTGGCTGTGGCAGCCCACTCGCAGTCCCAGAAATGTGAGGATCAATTCAGGTGCTGTTTGAGCCTGTCGCTCAGACCGCAGGAAGTGGGCTTTTGCAGGCTTCTGAAAAGCAAGAAAACGCTAACCGTTTGCCAAAACAGTTTCAGTTCCTTTCCTCTACGGGTATCTGCAGGGCTGTGTTTTCCATGTTGGACTGGTTTCCTGAAATTAGTTTATAACCGATCATGTCCGCTTCTGGTCTCTAAGAGCAGCAAGGTATCTGTGTAACCCAGCTTGTCTCCAAGGAACGTCTTTACACAAAGAGCTGTGGGTGTCTGGAACAAGCCCTTCAGGTGACCTAGGACTTTTGAAGAGCATTCTTGGGCCAAAAAAATGCCCGATTACATAGTACCACACTGCCCGGAGGATGGTGAACTTTCTTCATGAATAGTTAGGGGTTGCCTGCCTGTGTGGAATCAGTGGCTTTGCTTTCCTCACAGTGCCAGCTTGCTGGCATTGCGGCATGAGCCCTCATGAGTGACTGCTGGCGTTTCTGTCCTCCCTTGTCTGGGAGAGCCCTGAAGAGGCCGTGAAGCACGCAATTGGCTTTCAATCTGCTGACCTGTACACCCACTTCTAGTCTCACCTGCAAGTGAGTCATTAGGCTGAATTAATTAATTTGAGCCACAAAGGCAGCTGATGAACGTTCAAATTACTTTGGCTATGTTCTGCTCTTTTCAAACAAGGACCTGTTAAGGGGAAAAAAATAATTGTAATTGATTACCACTGCATATCCTCATCAGTCAGTTTGTATTCACATTAAGGCCTTTTGTTGTCTGCCCAGCTCTAATGTAGGGGTTGTATTAGTTTAATCCTTTTCTCCACTTTCTTGTTTTGCTCATTTTTCTGTGGCACAAGCAAGCTGTCTTCCCGTGTCTGAACTTCTTCCTTCTGTTGTGTCGAGAGCGTTGCGTTGTCTTGAGTAATTCTCACAAGTGCCGTTGTGGGAGGCCCAGGTCCCATTGCGTCGCCAGTGAGATTTACAGAAGCGCCTGTAACTCCGATGAGCTGGCACGTACCCGCTGTCGGTACACCCGGAATCCTGTGCCTTTCCCCTGCCCTCTGCCTTGGGCTGCGTGCGCTGGTACCTTGGTGCGCCAGAGTCCTCTTGGCTCGTCTGCCAGAGCCTTTTGGTTGCATCTGTGCTTCAAGTGGAAAAAATCCCAAATCTCCCGCAGTCTAAAAAAACTTAATGTGGGTAAAATGTTTGCTGGAAACAGGTCTGTTTATGGGTTTAGTGTGAGATTAAAAATAATACAGATGTGAAGCGCTCCGTCTTTAGGGATGTATTATAAAAAGGGACATTTGCAGATCTGTCATTTTGATTTGGTGAAAAACAGAGGGGCTGAAACTCAAGACGTCTTGGGAACGTCAAACTAATTTGACGCCAAACAAGCTTAACAGTAATTTCTCTGTTCAGTGTCTTAACATACGTGATTAAACAGCACAAGTTATAACCGTATTTACTAGTAATTTTCTCTCAACATTCGCCTTTCATGTAAAAATATCGGGATTGTCTGATTGTACAAATCAGCTAAATAGCCTGGTGCTCACATGTGATATCGCCTGGACGGGCTGCAGGCTGGACATCCAGAACTCCACCTTTGAATCGGACTTAAGTCAAATTGTAAACCGAGCAGAAACTGGCAAATGTGAACCAGAGCTGGAAAGCAGTGCTGTTAAACAAAAGTCACTATAATTTTCAGTTATGTGCAGGTACTGTGTACCAGACATTATGAGTCAAATGAATGCACTAGTGCTTCATGCCTGCATCAAGGTAGACATTTTGTGCTTTCCCACCTGACCAGCCCATAGCGAGTAGTAGTTCAGGTGGGTAGTGACCACCTGAAGAAGGCTCCATGGCCGAAACGTTGTGTTCTCTTTCTTCTTTTTTTCAGCATGGAATAAACCTATCACTTGTTCCTTTGCAGCCCATAGCGAGTACCTGTGCCTTTTCTTTGTAAGGAACTGTTGACATTAATTTAGGCCATTAATTCGGACCGGTAATTGGGGCAGGCTGTTGGGGACAGATTGCTAAGGATGTGTGTAATGTTGCTGGTTGCAGTGCCCCGCTGTACTCTTTCCTCTCAGTGTTTCGCAACGCTGTTCCCTTCCTTCTCTCTGAACGCCGTGTGCTTCCTGTTTTCCAGCTGGCAGCAGTCCCCTGGACAGTCCAAGAAATGTGTCCACCAGTACGTCTCTCAACTTCCCCTTCGCTCGCAGGTAAGCTCGTGTTTCCTCCACCCTGTTGGCTGGCTGTGATCTTTGTGGAGTGAGAGGTGTCTGTGTGTGTCTCGGGAGTCTCGCTCAACAAGAAGGCTCTTAATGGTGACTGTCTTCAGAGTGTGAGGATTTCTTTCTCCGGTACATTGTGAATACATATCCATGAGAGCATTGTTCGTTCTATGCAAGTTAATCGCCTCCAGCTCAGTATCTTCTCATAATGGCAGTTATGAGAAGTATCTTTCCTGGAAGTAGATTTAGTGTCTTTCCTGGAAATCTCTATATGATTGTTGGCTGTGGGCATAACCATATCGACTTCAAGTTGACTTTATACATTGCTGCACTAATAGGCTGTAAAACACATTCACATACAGCCAAATAAAGTGAATATTGTTCAAAGTGGTTTTTTTTCCCTGCTTGTGTAGAAAAACAAGAAAATCGTTTGAGGAAAAGCAGTGTGGTGACGCTCCAAAACACTTTAGGTATTGACCTTTACCCTTGTTTGAGTCTCACCTCCTGCTTATACATCTAGGAGTTGTTTCCGTTTGTCATTGTTTGCTAATGAATGTAATGGTACAGTATGTAGACCTTCTCCCCATCTGGTGGCCTTGACAGCATTGCCAGTCAGCAGGGCTGATGTTTCTGAGCAAGGAACACGGGAGCATCACATGAGGGCTGTCTCTCACAGGACGTGAAAAGTCTTCTAGTGCCGTTTCAGAACGATGGTGCAAGTCGTGTGAAATGGCACCCCCTTTTGTCTCGGAGCGTTTGTTTTAAAGATGAACTTGCATGCAACTACACAGCAGTGTTGGGACTGGTCCCCTCCCTGTAGGTGGCGTTTACACACTATGAGATGCTGTCATACTGCTGGTAGGCTGGTAGCACTGCCTGTTGACTGGAGCCCTGCAGTGTGCAGTCTAAATAACATACAGTGAACAAAGCTGAGGCCGAGCTCTTTGCAGGCTCCCAGTGTTGGAGGCCTGTGGGAAGAAACGAGTGATGCAAAGATACCTGTGAGGTCAGATACCCTGGTGGGGGAGTTTCATGTCACGTTATGGTTGGTCTGTGGGGAGACAAGCATCAGTTTCCGCTAGTGGTGTTAAGTTCTAGAGACTTTTTGTAAATGCTGAAGACGTTACCAGCGTCCGCAGGAAAAAAGAAAAAAAAAAGAAAATCAGGGCTGTTCAGAAGGGTTTGTAGCGAGAGGCTCTTCTGAATCATCCCCCACCCCCCTGATTTTTATTTTAGGGCTTCTTCCAGTCAATGCGGTGGTTGAGTCAGCTAACCCCGATTCGTGGTGCAGTACAGTACGTCTTCCAGTCTAGTGAGTCATGGCTTGCAGCTACACCCCTCTGTTTTTCCACGCCGCAAACCCTGGGGAGCCAGGAGAAGGAAATGCAGAGGAAAGCCAGTCCTGTTGACCCACCACATCTTCCACAGGGGATTCTGGGAGTCGTAGTCCAGCCTTTTACAAAGGGCTGGGTTCTGTTTTAGGAGCTCCTGAAGATGTTTTTGAGCCATTGCGTTCTGCTGGGCATGGTGGCACAGTGGTTACCATCGCTGCCTCACGACGCTGGCTGGAGCCCTGGGTTCGCTATCGGACCTGGTGTACTGTCCGTGTGGACTCTGTATGTTCCTGCCCTGTTCGCATGGGTTTACTCCAGGTGCTCTGGTTTTCTCCCACAGTCCGAAGACATTCCGGATCCTGACTGTTTTGTACCCTTATTAATTGGTTCTGATTCCCGTGTCTCAGGTCCCTGCAAATAGCCTTGTTCTGTACATTGGTTTCATCTACAGCCGGGGCTCTGTTTGTTTGTCCTTGTGTCTTCAAGCAGCTGAGATACAAAAGGCGGCAGTGTGCACAGGTCAAGCCAGTCTGGAACGGGAGGTTAACCGATGCGTCGGTAGTTTCTAAAGCTGATGCATTTTTTAAAACCGTGTAAATCAGGGGAGCTCAGGCCGGAGCTGCAGGGGCCCGAGGGAGCCGGAGCGTGGCCTTTGAGAAGGCGCTCTGGGTGACAAGCGTTCCTCTCCGGCGTGGGCTGTGCGTGGGCAGAGCTCCTGATGCACAGAGCGCTGCGGCACTGTAAACAGCAGCCTGTTTCCTGAAGATGCTACTGTACAAATCTTATCACTCATCAGATCTCTCTCGTTTTCGTTTGTTTTTTTCTTCCACACTTCTCTTCCTGCTGTTCCGACGTCTTAGCCATGTGCCCCGAACTGACAGGTAGCGTGCCCATTATTTTTCTTTCATATTTTTCTTCCATTTTATTGAAAGGAAAAAAGAACGGTCGGTTTATTCATTTTTTTACAAACCTTTTATTTCTCTGCACGTTTGCCTCGTGTTTGCTGCAGTCCCTGTAGGAACTTTCGCAGCTTTAATTTTGCAGTTTAAAGGCTCAGTAAGTCGTTCAGAAAACATCAAATGGACAAAAAAGAACAAAAAAAACCCTGATAGTCTAATTCATGCTGCTTGTCAATTCTTTTTTCAATACTTGTCCAATTTGGAATCCTCTGTTGTTTTTACATCTTGGTTTACGTCCAGCCAGAGAAAATAAGGGACTGCTAATGTGCTCTTTTGAACCGTCAGTGTGACCTACAGGAGGGTCAGCGCTGATTGGAGGAGAAGTATGTCCCTTAGTGATGTCATCGTGAGTCTGTGGGCTCCTGGGTGATGGGAGGGTTCCTGAGTGACCGTTTGTTAGGGGAGGCCAGAGAATTCCTGCCAGCTATTTCCCCTGGAGTCTAACTACACTAGGCTCAGACTTGTGGTGTCAGTATCATAGAGCTCAAGCATACTTGTACTGAAATGCCATTATGGTTTGAGCCACATATGAACCCTCGGTAACCATAACCTTCTCTCTTTCTCTTGGCCTGGGATTAATCAATCTTTTCCCTTCAGACTAACATTTTTGTTCCTTTTACGTAGGGCTTTTTGGCGAACTTAAATGGTGCTTTTTTTTCTTTCGTTTTAAGAGCGGATGGTCGTAGATGGTCTCTGGCTTCCCTCCCGTCTTCTGGCTATGGAACCAACACCCCGAGCTCCACGGTGTCTGTAAGTGAGATGTGAAATGGAACTGGGCTGGAGTCAAGCAAATGGCATTGTGGACATTGTGAGGGTGTGGGATTGGGGTGCCTAATGCAAGCAGTAGAAACCGCGTGTTGAACGAGTTAAACAACCTCAGATCAGATGACCGTTTCACTCTAAATCATTTCGAACAACATGAGAACGATTGCAAACGGAGAGGAAGCCGTTCAGCCCACATTGCCCTTCTAGTAGTTAACCTATTCAAGGAAAGAAGCCAAGGTATTGGCTTTGGCTGCATTATGGCTGGCTACTTTGTTCCATACTCCCACATCTCTTGGTATAAAGCCGCACTTCCTGTTAAAGACCAAATGGCTTGCAGTGATATCATAGAAAAAAAAATCACACAAGTCATGCAAGACTATGTGTTTTTAAATAGCATTAGGAGTGTCGCACATTTGTTTTAACACAGTCAAGACCGAAACAGATGTATAAAACTGAAATGGCTGTCGTCCACTTGGTGAACAGAGTACCTTGTGGTCAGTCATGTGGTTTGTCTTGATGCGGTCATTGTGTTGTTGTGTCTGATACAGTGTGTTGTGACGAAGCATTGTCATTCCATCTAGTGAGTGCAATGCCAAGATCTAGTTCTTTTTTTTTTTGTTACACACAGTGCATTCAGCAACTGTCATTCCTTGCCATCGCCCAACAATACTCCATTCAGATGTTCAGACAGTATCTGTACCTTCCTTCTGTAGCAGGAAACATGGCAGGCTTCTCAGATTTCCTCCTTGAGTCGTGCAGACTTTCCCATCCTTTTGCTTTTTTTCGCTGATGAAATCGAGCCAGAGAATTTAGTCCCGTTGCTCAAGGCCTGCAGGCTGCGATCTTACACATCAACAAAAGCGAGTGAAAGTGCCCGCTGGCTACATCTGCCCCTGATTTCTTTCGCGTCAGCAGAGCTGTAATCGGATTAGTGTGACCGGGGAGCCATGTCCGCCCGTGACCAATCACGCTGATTTTTCAGAACACCTCCCTCACCCCTCCAGGGGTCACGGCACTCAAGTCATTTTGGGATCAGATCTTCGGCAGGATCTCCTCCCAGTGTTGTTGGTTTCAGTCTAACATTACTTAGGACAAACACAACCTAAAAACTGTAAATGGTATCTAGCATTCACACAAAGCAGGAAGAAGCCTTTCTTGAAGACGTGGTCATGTGAATGTCTTGGGCTCCACGAAGTATCCACACTCCCTCTGATTGATATTTCCTTTTGTTACTGTATTAGGTCATTTAGGTAATACGACTGTAGCGGACTGAATTGAATAAACACCATGGCTGTCTCTCATGTTTGCTGGGTTGAAAAATATTCTGAAACAAAACACGCTCCAGTAGAGCTATTGAAATCCTAAATTTTTTTAGGGGTCCCTTGGGTTAAGCTGAAAAAAGGTACGATAGAGTAATTCAAGGGAGCATATTTTGTTTATATATTTCTCCACAAGTTATAAGTTCCAGGCAACCTACGAAGCCTAATATGGGGTGGATGTACAGGCTCTTTGATCATTTATTCCCTAACTTAAATCAGAGCACAGAGGTTTAGGACCATATAAATGTAAAATCTGAATCAAGATCTCCAGGTATAGATCTCAAGTATAACATGACAGAATGCGTATTCTTTTGGAAACTTCAGTTGCAAACTTCAGATTGAAGAATGGATCCATGCGTGCTTGCTTTATGTATCCTGTCGCATTCAAAGATGCAAAGTGCTTCGTCCGATTTGGGCCCAAGATTGTCTTTTTGGTGGACCACATGAGCAGAGGGGGAACCTTCTTTATTTTGAACTTCCGTCTCGTCTCGGCTCTGGCAGAACGACTGCTCTTTGTGTTTTTTTTTTCCCCCCGAAGAAGCACCGTGTTTTTTTTAACGTTGCGTAATCGTGTCGGCATGTGCGCTGCAGCTCGTCCCCTCGCACAGAGGCGTGCGGGCGGGCGGGCGGGCTGGCGGCTCTGCAGTGGCCTGTGGTTTCTGTGTGGCTGGGGGGGGGACAATCTGTAATCTGTTCTTTTTGTTTTTTACAGTCTTCATCCTCTTCTCAGGAACGCTTGCACCAGCTCCCCTTCCAGCCCACGCCCGACGAGCTGCACTTCCTGTCCAAGCACTTCCGCAGCACGGAGAGCGTGGCGGACGAGGAGGGGCGGCCCTCGCCCCTGGCGCGCCCCCGGTCCCGAAGCCTGAGGTAGCCCTCCCCTCCGGCCTGCTGCCGACTAGTTTGCCTTAGTATCCACGTCCTCTTGCTGACCATGGGAAACTGGAATTAGAGCATGTAACTCAGCTTGCAAGCACTGGAACTGGCTTCTTTTCTGATCACGTGACGTGACTGGGTCCTCTTCTTGGCTTGGTGACCCCCTAACCTGCCTGACATGATTTCATTCTCTTGCTGGTCTCATTCAGCCTGCTGTGGATGTATTATTTCATCTTTGTGCTTTTGCTGTTTTTCCCCACCAACTGCAGAAGCAATAAGATGGCAGGGGTTTGATTATTGATTTGTTAGGCAATAGGAAAAGACCTACATTATATAGGGGGCAGGGAGTATTTCAGTAGAAGACACGGATCACTTAAAAAGTAATAATTAGTGGAGAGCTCAGGGAGGTGTGTAGCTGAGGGATTATTGCCAGGGACTGGAGTTCTTAGGCAGAATGCAGGCGACCCTGTTCGTTTCGCAGTTAACAGATTAGCCAGGCGCAGTGAAAGACACCATTTCCCACACAAGGATAACCCACCAGGCCTTGGTTCCACCCTGCAGTTGCTTTGGAAATGCAGGGGCTGCACCATTGAACCGGTGCTCCGGAGAATCTGAAGGCTGGGAGGTCTGCCTGCTCGTTCTCCTCTCGGGCTGGACGCCGGTGGTGTTTTCTCTCTGCCAGCAGAGTGTGGGTGCAGGCACTCGCAGGGCAGCCAGGCCGCAGGCTTGCTGGTGAATTCTGAAGGCTGCCGTAACAGAAGCTCCTTTATGTTCGGAAACACGGAGCTGCATCCTCACCAGACCTCAGATCGCCAATTCAGCAGCGATCCACGCCTTCCCTGATTTCTTCCTTTTGGACAGTATCCATGTTCTGTTAAATTTTCAACATTTAATTAATGTTCTAGGGAGAACCCGTTAGCAACATGTTCGAAAGGCATTAGAAATCAGTATTTCTAACTATTCTGTGCTAAATATGAAGTATGATGCAAGATTGACATGTTTTTAGTATAGTGTGTGGTGCCTCGAGCCTGCTGTCATGATTAAATAGAATATTTAAGTGGAATAAAGCATACCTAAAAGTTCAGCCGTAGCAGGAAGCCTTTCAGCTAATCCCCTTTTCCCCATTTTCATATGGATTGCAAAATCAGGATTCCCGGCTGTCCGGACGGATTTGCTTCTAGTTAGTGACCTGTTGTCGTCACAAGTAATATGCCAGGATGTCTTGAATCCAGTTCTACAGTAAAAGGTTTATCACGGGTTCAGTTATGTATTCGTCGCACGAATATGGCAAGGTTAAATTAAATACTCCTCAAGTAAATAGAAGAAAATCAAATTTCTAATTCCGACGTTATTCAAAGTCCATCACAAGTCGTTCACCTAGTATCAAAGTAAATCTTATTTTGTCTGATGTTAATTTATGAAATGTTAATGGGGTAGAAAGAATAATGAATCCAGAGTTTTCTTACAGTCAGAATCCCAGGAAAAACCTGAAGCCCATCCGTCCCTGACCTGAGAGTGCTTCTTTATTCCGGATTAATTTCTGTGTAAATATTCTCAGAACTTGATTTTCCCACAGCTTTGCCAAATAGATGATCACTGATCTCATTTCCTGGCACAGCCACGGCTCTGCCATCTGTAGGTTTACTCATGTAGGCAGAGATCCTCAACGTGCGAAGCCTGACGTTCTCTGCAGGCACACAGAGCACATTGTAGAGGGGTAAGGCGGGGGGGCAGTGAAGACGCGCTTTTTGATTTAAAGCACAAAAAAAAAACCTGCTGATTTTTTTTTTCTCTCTCTCTCTCTGCTGTAGTCCTGGCCGGACGAGTGGCTCCTTTGATAACGAGATCATTATGATGAATCATGTTTACAAGGAGCGCTTTCCCAAGGTAGGTCTCCTCCAGCCGTTTGTAAACCTTCCCCGGGGGGGTCGTGTGTTTGTGCGTCGGCCGGTCTCCTGGGATACGGCGGCGGCGCGCAGGTACCCAGTTGTCTCTTTAGGGCTCATCAGCTGGCGTAGCCACGACAGGGGAACAAATAGGCCGTTAAAAACGTTTCCATCATAGTGGCGTGTTTTAAAGTGAGAAACATCTGCACATCATTTCCTTCAAGAGATGTTGTAGCCGTGTTTGCCAAGAGAGTGGCCTTCTTGAAGTGGCCCTGCCCGTCCTGAAGATCTAGAATATTCCTGTGTGTGTGATTTTGCCATGGTCACTTGCGAGGGTAAATCCAGTGCTGGGCTCTGTCACAAGGAGCACGGGACATATTCCTTTTCCAGAATGGCAGCAGGTTGTGTGGAATTCTACTGTTTGGCCAGTGTCTTGTCTGAATTAGAGTAAACCCAACACTGTACAGTGGTCTGGAATTTGTCTGGGTCTCTGGTAGGAACTATAGAATTAACTGCAGTGTAAGATGACAAAACAAAACTAGTGATTGAGGTCAGAGATGCTAGAAAAAATGCAAATATAGACAGAATACCTCTGAGATATTGTGAATGAACTCCATGACTTTGTTTGCTGGGAACCTGAAATGTAAACATTGTTCATTTTCATATATGTCTTTGGGCTGGGTTAAAATGTAATTTTGTGTGGCGGCTCTAAATTGAGGAGATGTGTAAAAAATGACTTGTCAGTTTAAAGGTGAAGGAAGCCATTGGGTGGTGGTGGCCTGGCAGGCTTTAGTGTGGCTCTGGAGGGTGGAGGGGAGTGGGGTGGGGACTTTGGGTTCAGGTTCGGCTATCTGGAAGGATAAGGGTGACCATCGCTCAGCTGACTGAGGGTCACCCTTTGCCCTCTCCAGGCTACGGCCCAGATGGAGGAACATCTCCAAGAGATCATCACCCACTGCTCCCCGGACAGCACCTTGCCTCTGGCTGACGGAGTCCTGGGCTTCATCCATCACCAGCTGGTGGAGCTGGCCAGAGACTGCCTGGACAAGTCCCAGAATGGCCTGGTGACCTCCCGCTACTTCATGGAGCTGCAGGAGAAACTGGAGAAGCTTCTGCATGAGGTGAGGCTTCGAGCTGGGTGTGTCTCACTGAGTGTGAGTAAGTGTCTCAACTTATTGATGGAGCAATTCAGCTTTCAAGTCATTTTTCTAGCTTTTCTGTGCTCTTGCTCTCACTCCTCTTCTGGGCAGCCTCGATAGCTTTTGAGAGACTCTGTGGTACTGGAAAGCGAATTAGTGGTATGCAGTGCTCTTCAGCCCATATGACAGTTTTGCAGCACAGCCCACTACATTTCCAGTCTGTTGAATAAAACACCATTCTTTTATCTCTCTTCTGAATTCCACAGTCTCTGTTCGGACAGTTTGCTTCTGTGCAAGCTTACGTTTTAATTGAATCGTTAGTCCTGGCTGAGTTTACTGCAGAAAATCTTAGGGAGGCTGAAGGACAAAAGGGGCTTTATTTATTTCAACTCAGTTTAAAAATACAAATGAAAGTGCTTCCTGTGGTCCATGATATCTCGCGATGAAACCTGCGCCCGCTGACTCGGTCCGACCCGAGTGTGTGGCACTGGGCTGCGCGATGGCAGCAGTCCCCTTGCTTGGCACTGCGGTCTCGTCTGCAGCAGGGGAATGTTAGTCTCCATAGCAACAGCGAGAGGCTTCGCTGCGTTTGTTTGTGTGACTTAGAGGCCCTTTTGTTCCCCACAACGCTGGGGGATAATTATCACCAGGCGAGGTGGAGAGAGCTGGCAGAGATCAGCCAGGAATCGCCGACGCTGACACCGTGCTGCTCTGGCCCTTGCTTTGTGTTACCTTTCTCCCATTACGATGCATCTCTTTCCACATTCTGCTGCTTCCAGTAAAACAGGATCAGGAGTGTTTGTAACTTTACTGTTCTGCTCTCGCTGCTGTGTTTTTAATTTGCTTGCCAGGTCAGTGGGCTGCTTTGATACTGTGTGGACGGAGTTGTGAAACACAAGACTTATTGTTTTCGTTAAAAAAAATCAGTTCACGGCGCTTAAGTTCGACTAGGACAACCCAGCATCAGTACAAGCCAGTTCATTTCAAAAGTTAGGTTGCTTTTGTTTAAGATTGGTCCGGCCATGGGAGTCAGTGGGAGTTCAGGAGCCATGTGGAAGACTTGGTCCTCTTGCACTTGCTGTTGCCTGAAGTGGCCGGTCCTCTAGCATAGAACCTGCCGTCACCTCTCTCAGCACGTGCTGCTGTCTGTGGCTGGGTGGTGCTGGTCTTCCTGTGTTGAGGGGTCTTTCCTTGTTGACAGTGGCGGACTTGTGCTCTTGGATGCAGGACAGTGGCTGTAAGAACAGGGCCCATAGCCTGCAGGATTCCTGTTGATGCCGCCTTTGCTCCATCGGGTTACGATGTGTTTTTTTTTTATCCCCCACGTCCACTCTCTTGGTGTGTCGTGTTCAGCGGGCCCTGGGGCTGTGTGCCTTGGGGAGCTGGTGAGGGGCCTGTGACGGTGCTTCAGGGTAGTGAGTACTGACTACACGACACGAGCACTGCGCAGGACTTGAAGTGGACGCCGGCCGATCCGCAGTCCGCACGTCTTGCTGGCCGTTGCTGTGAACGAATCGGTTTCTGATTTCCTTAAGGGCGTTTTGCCCTCATGTGAAGGTTGGCCACTGGCTCTTTTTATTTGGGTCACCAGGCCCGAGCGAGGGGGCGGCGCCATCATGGCGTGTTGGGGCTCTGCCGCTCACCCTGCTCTCTCTCATATCACACCCCCACCCTTCAGTTGCAAGTCTTACAAAGCACCAAACACCAGAAGTGCCCACTGCTTTGCTTTTCTCAACATCAGACGAAGCTGGCTTCCTGTTAATGTGTTTTAGAAGGCTGAGCTGTCAGAGCTGCCGATGTGAGCCGGGGGGTTGTTGGGGTAAGAGAGATGTTGTCATGGTAAAGCCAGTCACAGTTACCAAGAGCCGTCTGTGTCCTCTTTGTGGCCTGCGGACCAGATCAGCGTTGAGAAAATCACATGACTGCTGAATCTACCAGCGTTTCAGAGCACGTCCTGTGATCTTGCACATGTTGTACAGTTCTTGCACTGCACTGTTTTGTTAAAATACATAAATTCATGTTCATAGTCTGCAGAAGCCTTTCATAAGTCATGAAATTCCCTTTCAAAACCTTTTCCCTCTAGATGACAGCTTTGTTCTTTTGTCTGAGCCAGCTTGGTCACTTTGAGATGTACCAGAAGTGGATAGTGGTCATATCTGCATGAAACAATTATTCCATTACTCATGGTGGGGTGCTGGAATACAGCCCTGCCCGATGTGATAACCACTGAAAGCTGGAGGTTAGCTGTAGCTGTTGGTGTCACAGTCGTGCTGGAGGTGATTCTGACATATCCAATAGCTACTCCTGGTGGGAATGAGAAAGGCTTGCAAATATCTTAGAGCTTTGCTGCTAGGATTAAAATAGGAGATGTCATTATTGGAGCAGGGCAGCGCCTAATAAAATAGTAGCAGAAATAGTTGTGTAAGTTCTTTTAGGTGTGTTTTTTTAAACTCCTGGTTTTCCAGATTTTCACTGATGATAGAGAGCAACCATCAGCTGCAAAACCAACAGTCAAGGAGGAGCAAGAAATGCAAAATGTCAACAGCTGGAACCATTGTTGATTACAAACTAACCTTTGGGGAAAACATGGTTGCCCTGTGTAAGAAAAAGAAAATTGTTCTTCCTAAGAAACCTCAGCTCTTTTAATGCCCGTCTTACAGCAATGGCTTTGTTCTATAGAACTTTCCTTGAATGTGGTAGCCTGGTTTGCTAACCTTAATGCCCACAATAAAATCGGACTGAACAAGATAGTGCAGGTAGTTAGCAAAATTATTGGTGAACAGCAGCTACAGCTTCCAGACATCCACGTCAAAGAAATAGTTGACATAATCACCGCCTGTCATGACTGCCCCTTGCACAGTGAATCTGAGCTCCTTCATCAGGGTGCTGATTTTAACTGCCTAGAATCAAATGCAATAGATACTGAGTTCTCTCTTACTCTCACAGCTATTAACCTGCTTAATTTGATCAATCGGTGGTATATTTACTTATATTTGTTTTTAGCATATGTCTCTTATTTGGTGATCGGTTCATGTTATGTTAAATGTATTGTGTATTGTGTTGTGTCTTTTACCTGCCTGCAAAGCGCATTTCCCTTCTGGGACAATAAAGGTGGGTAGGAGGTGGTCGAGGCAATATCACTGGAGCTCAGCCTGTCCGTTTCCCCTGTGCCAGGCGTACGAGCGCTCGGAGAGCGAGGAGGTGCCCGTTATCACGCAGCTGGTGAAGAAGATCCTCATCGTCATCGCCCGGCCTGCCAGGCTGCTGGAGTGTCTGGTAAGGAGAAAGGAGGCTGAAGCACCAGTTATTCCTGTTGAGGAAGCCATTGTTCTTTCATTGGGTTTATTAGCCAGCAGCTATATCGCCCCGCAGCTCATCACTGGCAGCCGTCTGGAGCTCAGCAGTGTGAGCCTGGTCAGTACCTGGATGGGAGACCTCCTGGGAAAGCTAAGGTTGCTGCTGGAAGAGATGTTAGTGGGCCCACTAGGTGTTAAAAAAAGGTGCTGTCCTTTGAATGAGATTTAAAACTGAGCTCCTGACTCCGTTAAAAATCCCAGGGCATTTCTCAAAGAGGGTAGGGGTGTTAGCCCCTGTGTCCTGGCCAAATGTCCCCCCTGGCCTTTACCAGTCATGGCCTCCTACTAATCCCCATCTCTGAACTGGCTTCACCACTCTGCTCTCCTCCCCACTGAGAGCTGGTGTGTGGGGAGTGTACTGGTGCACTCTGGCTGCTGTCACATATCCAGCTGGGGCTACACATTGGTGGTGAAGGGAAGTCCCTATTACCTGAAGAACCCTGGAGTGTCCAGAAAAGCACTATATAATTGCAAGGAATTATTAGTTATTATTTAGGGGGGGAGGGTGTGTAATTTGCTGGTGACATTAGGTGGGATGTTTCTTTTAAGTGGTCTTGTGACAAATGTTGGTATGGTGCCTGCTTGCAAGCTAACTGGGAAATGGTGTCTGCAGTAGCACTGCTTCCTATGACAAACACTGCCCCAGCCCCCAAGTCAATGGCCTCTGTGTGCACTGCAGGTGACCATCACTGCATTTGGTTTGTAGGATGCTTTGTTGTGTAGGGTCTTTTGACTGTAACACAAAACTGTGATGTGTAATCACATGTGCAGGCTTTAAAGACACCTAGCCCCCTCTTAAAAAAAGAGTTCCACTCCTAGACCCCCAAATCAGCCCAACAAACTGCAAGTCAGAGGCTGGGTTTGAAGCCCAGTTTGCACCAGGCTCCTGTGTTGGAAGCCCTGTGGACAGGTGTGCATGTCGAGGTGGGGGGGAGGGAGTATTTGCCTGACAAAGAAGCAGTGTCTGTCTCCAGCCTTCGGTGCCTTCAGCCTGGCTGAGGAGGGAGGCAGGGAGCAGGGCTCTGATTGCGTGTGTGTGTGCGTGTGCCCTGTGCAGGAGTTTGACCCAGAGGAGTTCTACCACCTCCTGGAGGCGGCGGAAGGTCATGCCAAGGTGGGCCAGGGAGTCAAGATAGACATCCCCCGCTACATCATCAACCAGCTGGGCCTCACGCGCGACCCCCTGGAGGGTAAGACCACCAGGCGACCTCTGTGGACATTGCCACCGGTGCTGCTAGAAGAGCTGTTAGTGGGACCCGTAGTGGGTCTGTGTGGGTCCTAATGCCCCAGTCCACGGGACACTGTACTGTAAAAAATGCACCGTTCTTTGGGTGAGGGGCAAGACCGAGGTCCTGACTCTCCATGGTCATTACAAATCTCTGGGAATTTTTC